ATATAAACAATCGCATGTTCGCCCATCCAACATTTAATCGAAATCATCCAAAACTGACGTCACTTACTTTTATGTTCTAGCTAGCTTTGATCATATCTAGAGTTTATGTCATCCCTATCATGAATCCTATAGCTATAGCCAATTGTATCATATATAATTACAGTTACGTCTCTCTGATCCTTAGCCAAGTTCGGGTTTACCTCGGTATAAAACATCACGACTGACGTCACAAAAAGAAGCTTTTCTGATTACAGCTCGCTCCCATGCTATACAATGCAACGCGTATAGTGTAGAAATTCACGACTTTCCATACTCAGGCTCAGACCGCGAACAAACAATTGGACCGAGGCTTCAAGGAACACTGATCACAGATCATTTCTTTTATGTTCACTGAACCTTTGCCGCTTCGGTTCAATGCTTTGTTCATGGTCACTCAACCTGAGTTATGAAAGTTGTTAATGAGTGAGATTGTTAAAACAGTTACGCTCTCTGCCCTGGGTAAAGACAAATCATCAAGTCCCTGGGGACGAGGCTATCAAATAAATAACAGATTCTGGCGCCAAAAGTAAACGAATAGGCGAAGGACGACAAGATGGCCGAAGCAATGGAGACAGAAAATATCCCAGAGCAGGGAGCAGCAGAAGCAATAATGTCCAGTGCAGGAAGCTGTAGGGGTCGCAGAAGCCGAAGCTGGCAGAGGAACTAGACTGGTGATTTTAAATATAGCTTGTGAAAATTTCAAGTCTTATCCTAAATTTGTAGAGCTTGGACCTTTCCACAAGGTAAGTTTTTGAACAAATAAACCAATTCTTCTTGCACGAATCTCATATGGTTTTGTACTGTTCATTTCAGTCTTTTAACTCGATTATTACCTTTAATAAGAGCGGTACTTCGGATCCATCCGATGTTGTCGACGCCATGCTGTTCGTGTTTGGCTACCGGTCAAAAATGATCAGTAGGCGAATTGCGAATTAGTTGAGAAAACTTCCTTGTGAAGTTTTCTCAAGTAATTCGCAATTCGCCTACTTATCCTGATTTCCAATCCTGTGGCGTGCACGTTTATTTCCAAAAGATAATTGGTGAGGTACGTATGTTTGTAGAATTTTTACTGGACAACTTAATTCAAAGCAACGGAATGAATCAAATTTTAAAATTAACTAGAACTTTTAGTAATGGCCCGAGTAAGAACTAGGGAAGCAAACGGCAAAGGAATGCAAGAAGGTGCTAATTGTGCATTGTATAATCCATCCTTCCCATTGGTTAAAACATGAAAATTCTGCTATAATTTTACAAGTTAGCGCAATTTCTAATATAATTTTATTTGATGTCTTTTTTTCACTTTCATGAAAGCTTTCTTTAGCTTCAATATTAAGGCAATTCTACGTGGGGAACATAGCAAATTAGAAGCACCTTTTGGCTATTGTTTTGAGTGCTTATGATTGGATAAGAGCTTTTAATACAAAAGAAACTTTGTTTCAAAATAGAGTTTATCCACATTTTATTTCAAAAATGTGTTACCCATAGGTTGTATATAATTAAATCTCACATCTCATAATTTACATTGTTGTTGTGATCACCTTGTTAAATCATCTTGTCTATCTTGCTATTAT